TTAACACACAGCTTTTTGGCCAGTTACTCGAATCAAATCAAGTGTAATTTGATGTTTTCTTAACTTGAGGAAAATATAACTCTTCCACCAATCTTTACTTTTGTGATTAAAACAGATCAAAACTCTGAGCGCAGCAATGGTATCCAATGGTGAAAACACAACAGACTACAAATCAGATTAGACTGGGGATGGGAAAAGTGTAGTAGATGTGGGCAGATATCACACAGAGGGACAGAAGAGACAGGAACAAGCCTGCTGGGGCGGTCAACATTCATACAGCGCTCTAATTGGGTACAATGGTAGAGCTGAAGGCTGGTGGTCTACTAGCTGAGCCTCAAGCTCCCTCATCTGGAGACTTGAGTCTTAAATTCAGTAGTTTGAGTTACAGGACCTTATCACAATCAGACACAAAGGAGCAAATGAAAGGACGGACAATGTTACACTGTAAAAAATCTCTCCAATATGCTTGGTTAAGCTACACATTAAGCTTCTTTAAAGCAAGGAACTACTAAGCATGTCGAATCTAGAGCCAATCCGATTTAATAAAAAGCTAAGTCTCATTACTACTTGTTAATTTAATTTCCATCTACTGCAACAATGTATGTCTTTTATTTGCACCACCTTTACTCAATGCACCTTATCTAATTTTCCCTCACTTAGTCATGTCCTGTTTCACAACATGAATTGCATACTACCCAATTATTCTTTGGTTAGGGATTTTCTACATTTCCCAGAACAAATGTGTTTTTGTGGAACTTTAGTTGAGTTAAGGTTAATCTAGAGATAATGTGTTAGATTAGGGCTGCAAGATATGGTAAAGAAAAAAAAAATCATACTGAGTTTTCAATATGATTCGCAATTAGTGGAAATTATCATTTTATAATCACAATTTTACTGGAAAAAAACTATTAAAATCATGATAATATGACAAATTAGTTTTTTTAAATCTGGAGAAAAAGTTTTCGAATTTGTGGGACAGGGCATTTCTGCAGCACTACAGTACTTCATTATCATGCGGTTTTGTCACACATTTTACCTTTATCAAAAAATTGCAGCTTCTGCTATTTGGATATTTCAATTAATTGTGCAGCCCTAGCCCCTCCATCCCCCTGACCAAGAGTAGGCAGAATTTCAGTCCACCAAGAAAATCTCCGGTTGACTCCCTAGTCTTCTGAGGGTATTGTCGGTTGAGAAATTGGTATTTCTGTCTTTGCTGCACTGGATTTCTGTCTGATTGCTGAGCTCTGACTCTGAGGACTTTATACCACAACCCTATGTTCACTGCTGATGTGAGATATTGCTGAAAAATTGAATCCTCTCGCTGTAGCTGGGCAGGAAATATCTCGACATGATGTGTCACATCAGTCTAGGGTTGGCCAGTAATCTGCACAAACAACATAATAGGGTCAGAAAGGCATGGTTCATTGCAAATGGAGGTTAATTTAAAATAGTGGTTGTGTATTATTAGTTGTGTTTTGTTCTTTTTTTAGTACTACTACTCGTTACTACACAAACTGCAATATAAAATGACTTCAGTGAGTGACAGTTTACCTTTGGTTTATTTGCTGAAGGGGCTTTGCCCACAGTGACGACTGAATCTGGCAAGATCCGAGCATATATACTCTATGTCTCTGCAATTTAGTGTTGATGACACACCATCCAGAGAAACATTTTATATGGTGGACGAGCAGGGCAATTTCCTTATTCTTATTCTACTCTCCCCTCTGAATGATGAGTATCTACGCCAATCAGCCATAACATTATGAGCACTGACAGCTGAAGTGAATAACACTGATTATTCTGGTTAGTCATGGGGGCCACTGTCAGTTGGGGTGGGATATATCAGGGCAAGGGCTGGCCAATCCACAGGACGAGCTACTGTGCTCAGACTGCTGAAAACAGTTTAATGCTGGTTCTGATAGAAAGGTGTCAGTTCTATATAGTTTTTTTCCAAAATCTTGATGATATACACTAACCAGCGAAGACATGGCTTTGCATTTTGGAACACTGGACAAACTCATGCTTCTGTTTGTACTCTTGGGCAAAACACTACATTGGAGCAGCCGAAGGGGCCGGGTGGTTTTATCCCTTAATACCACGTTGGGATCTAAGGGTCTAAAATAACAGGCGGCAGCATGGCTGAAACAAACAGACAGCTGCAAAGGAGAAACATTGTGTCAGATTCTTCCTGTTGAGGTTTGATACAAGGGCAGGTATGGGTTACATTTTACCCTTCTTGAAATGATTAAGGATTGGGGGAGAAGGATCACGACTCAGACAACATCATCTAAAACACAACCTGCCGGTTACTCCGTCACGGCTCTGTTCCTGCTTTGACGATCATATGGACAACTGCGGCTGTTTTGCCAGACCTAAATTTACTTTAATGTCACAATAAATCAAGCCAAAAGAAAGGTTTAGACCTATGAAGATATACAACGTAATTATAAAAGCTAAATAAACAATGCAGCTTTAGGCTGCGACATGCTGCCCTAACACATTCCCTGGCAGGGCTTCACACTTGACAAATTAATCACTTCTCTTGCTCCTGCCCTCTTCTCTCTCCAGAGGTGTTGCTTTTCGACCAGGGCAAAGGAAACAAAGTGCAATCTGTGGAGCTGAGGCTTATCGGCCTTCCCGGCTGGTATGGGCCCCCTCTTCCCCCCACCACGCCGACAATGAATCACTTCCGCCCAATTTACAGGCACTGGCCAGGTTGCCAGCCGCAGGGGCCAGGGGGCCACACAGGCAGCCACAGGTTCTAACCCGTGCTGACCCACCAGCCTCAAAATGCACTGACTGATTGGGAACAATTGCTTTTTTTTTTTCTTTTTTCTTCTCCTCTCCTTCCTTTTTTACACCTCCTTGGTCACAGTCTGGGCGTTAGCTGCCTCACAAAAAGGCAAGGCAACCTCTTTCATTTGCAGCCTCAGCCATAAAGGCCCAACTTATTTATATCTGCTGTAATTTTAGAAAAAGCTGGTGGAAAAAAAGGACTTAAGCCATAATTTCTGCACTTTCACAGAGGGCCAGAAAGATGAGTAAAAAAAAAAAAAAAAAAAGAGAAACATCTCTCAAACATATTTGCTCTATTTAATTACGGCACGATTAGAGGCAGACATTTTTCGTAAAGCACTAGCCTCGGGGCACAGCGGAGCACCTTGCTTCTCAGCATTAATTAAAAAAGCCTGTTGTGAGGTGCTTGTCGACATCGTTTACTTTAAAAGAAAAAGGTGACAATTGCACTTAATGCGTCGCAGGACCTTCTTATTTATTTCATATCTGAACATACTGTCTGTTTGTGCTATGGCACTGATATGATAGGGTTTATTTTTCTCAACCTTTGAGTGCAAACTCACTGATCCATCCTGATGCTTTCAAGTGCAATAATTGCTCCTGTTCCAACAACTCTGCCCACTTGCTGACAGAACAAAGTCCTAGAACAGCAGCGAACACAATCCATCAGCCAACAAAAACGTCTCGCTGTCTGAGACTTTAATCCAGTTTGCTGTTTTAAGTATAACATCTGACTCAACAGCACGATAACATCTAAGTGCACTGAAACATTAAACCATTTCACTCACTTCTCACTTCTGTTGGGGAAAGATGAGCTGCATTAAATGAGTGATTCCTAGGTGGACTCTGAGGGTGACAAATTGTTGTTGCTGTGGAAATAATGATTTGGATGCTATATGGATGGTCAGTTACAAATGTCTGAAATTTGTGGGTGTAGCCAAACAGTGCTGATGATCACCGGGCCAAAGCTAATGGTTAAATGAGATGTGTACCGGAGAGGGTTTAGTGTCAGCCTTGATGCACACAATCATCTATTTACTCTCTCCAGTTCGAATGGGTTCTCTTGTGGAGCGCTGTTGCGGCGAGGCTTGTGGTTTTCGAGGGGTTATTATAGGGCGAAGCACAAGAGCCACGGAGAGACTCGTCCTGCTTGGGATGTTGCCATGGCAACACGGCTCAATTAAGAGTGGGATGCTGACGGCTGCAGGAAAGCGATGGTTTAAGATGCAGTGTGCAAAATTGTATCTCTAAAAAAATGTTCAGCCAGCCATTCCATCTACGCCGAGGTGCTTTAAGAAGCTCACTATCCAGAAATGTGTCAGTGTGCAGGATTTTTCTAATTAAAATCCTTCATTTACTGTACCGTGCAAAACAAAATCACTTAACTTAAGTGCATCAGCGGCTCTTAACATCTTGCAGTACTTATTTAGATAAAGAATATAATAGAAAAACAGAGAGTAGGTACGTTTTTTTATTCACACTGCAAGTCGTCTTTACTCCAGAACAGTGGCCTTACAGACAAAATAATGGATAGATATATACCTACAGAAAACTTGCAGGCAAAGTCATCCACTCATAACTTGCAAAGTCATCTCCTCCTCATCCCTCCTCTACTCTCCACAACAAAAATATCTGTATGAAGTAATGAGACGGTGCATTATTCATAGATTTAAGCTTCTCAGTACATTTGAGCAATGGGTATAAAGCGTTGCCTGTGGCAGTGCGATTATCACAAAACCTGGATTTGTGATCCAAGCGCCGGAGGCAAGAGAGTGAGCAGTTGTAACCACAAACACGTAGGCGCCTCAGAAATGTCAGTTGTAAACTTAAAAAAAAACATTCAGTGTATATACCATAGAGATAAATACACTACCTGTGAAGAATTTAGTATTTATAACTTTAATGGCAAGTTACTTTTCCAAAAACATTCAAGACACTATACTGTGAAGTGGTTAACAGACTGACTGAAAGCGCAGCGAAGGTAATAAATCGGTGAGTGAAGGAGCCTGGCAGCTTGTCTACAAGAGTCCAAAGTTCTGCTGATAAACGCCAGTGTTCACACTGATAAGGTTCAAAGAACATACTTTAACACATGCTTCATTCTCAGATCCCAAAGGACAAAACGCTTACACACACATTTCAAGATGTTATTATTCCACATGCACAAAACAAGGTCTTAAAGCACCTACAGTGAGAACTCTTACCTTGCTGTCTGTGGGTGACTCCCTCTTTCCTAGATGCTGGCCCATGCTGCTAAGACTGTAAGAGAAACACAGAAGGAGTTTAAGCCAGGAGAAGAAGACTGCGTATTATGTGAAGATCATGTACTCCTCCTTATCTAAGCAAGTCTGTGAAACTGTGGCATCACACACAGTGACAAAAACACTGGAGGAACTGTTTTATCCTGAATGATGGTAGGGATAATGCCAACATAGATTAAAATGCTGCAGCGGTGCAATTCTGACTTCAATGACAATCAAATCAAGGTCAATCATGATTCTTGAAAATGTCTTGTCTATTGCATTTAGCCTTATTTTTTAAAGCATTTATTAAAGGTTCTCAGTTTGGTCTTTGGGTGCTTTCATGCCATACCTGTTTGGTTCAGTTAAAACAAACTCTAATGCCTTTGCCAGTGTAGTGCGGATTGTTTGGGCTGGTGTGCAAGCTGTCAACTGATGCATGATGACATCACCAAAACTGTCCAATCAATGAGCCATCTGTCAGTCTGTATGACTTCATGTTTACCCCGCGTTTTGTTTGTAAAAAGTCTGTGTAAACATGAACCAAACCGGAACTATGATGCAACAATGTATCATTTTTCCCCTTCGACCGGACCGAATGAATCAAACTACAGGTGTGAAAGTGCACTAAGGGTTCTTTCACACCTCAACCAAGAGCAGTTAACAGTTTTGATGAATGTTAACAGCATCTCCGATTCCCTGTGGAATCACATGGGGGGCTATGTTATATTATGTTATTTTATATATACGGGGTTATGTGCAATTCTTACACATATCTCAGGTTTGTATTGTCTACCTCTGGGTGAAAAAACACTGAAAACACAGTGCCTGTTTGCTGGTTTGTTTGTCAGCAGGATTACGGAAAAACTACTGGCCTGGCTTTCATGGAACTTGGCGGAAGCCTGAGCCCCAGAAGAACCCATTCAATTTTAATTCTGGTGACTGACAGCGGTCACTTTACTGCTTCTAATGTTCTTATTAACATTCTCTGGTGTGCCCAAGATTCAGCTGATGCAAAAACAGACAATTACCTGCTTCTCATGGCCGATACCTATAATTTCACATTTTTGTTTTCAGTTCATAACCTGTAGTCTATGCACATGTAGTGAGCAAAGATGGATAACTAAATATTCTACAGCTCTGTTCTAACATATTCTGACATCACTATTGTTAACACGAAAACAACAAACAGCAGTTCTGAATTATAAATAAAATATGAAATATTTATTTCTTTTTCAGATTCCAGCATAATTTGGCTTTCGTAGAACAAGTCTATCAACTGTCTTGCATAAGAAATCCAAATGAATTATTATTAATATAAACCTATAATTTATCGTCTGTAATTTAGTTATCCAATCATTTATAGTAATACACATTTCCCATTATTGGCCATTATTTATTTCTCCCGACGATTTTTGTGAATCAACTGATTATTTGTTAGTATTATTAAACTGCAAATGGACCGATCAACAGGTAGAAACAGAGTGGGGCAGCTGCTAATCCCAGGGCCGATGGTTTGATCTTTGACTAGCACATGGCATGGTAGCTTGCTGTCATGTGTGTGTGAGGGGGTGAATGATAGACAAACTGTAAAGTCCTTTAGATAAAAGCCTTATATAAATGCCATTTATATTAGAAATAGGAAGGGCTGGAATATTAGATCACTATATTTCACATGGTTTGTAATTAGGAGCTTCCAAAATCCACAGTATAGTACACAAGCACATGACAGTTTTAACTCTCACATTACATGGATAATTCTGATCTGATCAATGTGCTGAAGTGCATTCATGTTACCATGGTTACCTTGGTTACCTTAATCTGGTATAAGTATAGGCTATATGCCGCTTAGACAGACTACTTCTGATAAGATTGCTTCTTGAGCAGTTCACAATCAGCAGATGGATTTAGAAGAATAGCTTTACCCTAAAACCATTATGTACTTTCACAGTCCTGTTGCTCGTCTGCTTCTAGTACGCTTGGAGGCATACGGAGACCCTCCTTTTCAGGGCCCGGTTTTTTTTGTCGGAACTGGATTTCGCACCAGCCCAAACTGATCTAACAATCCAGAACAGCTGTTTAAATCGACCAAACTGTTCTGAACTACAACATGACTTAGCCCACGCTCCCCTCCCTGTATGTGCTGTAGTCTTCCATGCCGTCATCCATTCATTACAATACTTTGTGCAGATGCTTTGTTGTGCCCTGCGGTGCTACCACCGGTGTAAAACACAGCCTGCCAGTGATTAGTAGCTACTTCATTAATGTCATCATCTTTGAATCTGATATAGTTCTCCACAGCCGATGATGCACCTTTTTGTTTTTTTTTAGCAACTTATTATTTTGCTGCGGGCTGCTGCAAATTAGTCTCATCCTCCCAATTATCTGCTGCTGTGCCCTCTGAATGAAGGTGCGCGGGTCATGGGAAAATGCTATATATTCTAGAGTGAAATATATAAAATGCAGCTCAATCACAGGCTATAATTATTCACATTATAAACATTCATCACCATATCGTAGGGAACTGTGCAGCATTACAAGGTGAGGGCCACTTACATTATGAGACGGTGTCAGTGTTTCTGTGTCACTTTCATAATGTCTATGCTTTTGCCAACATTATACATCTAACTCAAGGGCTACAGCAACAACTGCAGAAAAAAACAGACTCCAGCCAACAGGTGTACTGCCAAATGTGTGAAAAGCTCCTGAAAGGTAAACTCCCCCAAAAGAGGAAGTGAGAAATGTCTGTGAAACAGGGAGGGGTCTCAGGTAACTGATCTCAAAGCTCACAAAACAACATAAATCCAACCGAGAATTTTCAAACTCATGTAAGTGCGAGAAATGAAAGACTCTAACTGCAGCAAATAACAACTGTCCTTTACTTAAAGGTGAAAGTGGGAAAAGGTGTAAAATTCAGGGCTTATCAAACAGAAGTGCTGAATATTGCATGAATCAAAATCGCACGCTGCAACCACCACTCAAAGAAAGATCTTTTTCTTTCCTCTGAAAGAGCAGTCTCCTTTACTTTGGAGTAATCACAGAATGCATTTTTTGGGCTTTTTGGAGAGTTTTGCACTTATCAAGAAAAGGCTTTCATCATCTTTGGCACCTTGACTATTTCCTTGTCTGGCATTTCTTCATTTTAGAACAATACATGGACACAAAATGGTGATGTCAAAAATGCTTAAGCTACACTACAGTTTACTGATGGTTTGTTGGCACAGGCTTCTAACATTATGACTGGATGCAGGAAACTCTATTTGAATGCCAACAATGTTGAAAAATTATCTTGATTAATTCAAGAATGCAGTATGTGTCAGCTTTATTCTTAAAATTTTAAATGCACCGAGCTCGTCACATTCCCTACTCACAGGTCAGATAGTCCCAGGGGTTCAAAAATATGTTAATGAAGCCTTTGAACAATCATGATAAAAAAATTAAAAATAAATACAATTGTGAAGAAATTATTATTGCACATTCAAGTTCACAGACACACACACACACTATTTACCACCTTATTTACCTTTTTGCAATGGTCAACTCAGGTTAATTAAATATAGCACTGAGCCTCCCCTGTGCCCACAGTGAATGAGGATTAACCATTGAGAGGTGTTATTAGAGCCATTGTCCTCTGAACAAGGACCACAGTGGGCGCAACTGTGATTAAAATGCAATCAGCCAGAGGAAGTTCAAGATTGTATATCACAGCAATATGGCTTAAGGTAAACAGCATTGCACCCAAAGGAACAAAATTTGCAACAAATAATGCTAAAAGACCTTCTTTAACGATTCAGAATTCTCCCAGGACCTGAAAACACTCACAAAAGTCTTCTAACAAGAGTGAGTTTGTCCTCTGAAAATCACTCTCATTATAACATGATGTGCTGAGGATTCTCTAAGGAGAGGAGCAGCCATATCTGAAAATAGGTTTATTAATGAGGGAAATTTAACAGCCCTGAGCAATACAGCTAACTTCAAAGCAGTATAAATGAATTTAATGTGGCTACTTGAGAGCAGCGGAGCTACCTGTGAAGGCATTTTATCACTGTATAGAGCGGTCATGGCGAACGTTAGCGAACAGTTGCCTATTCACACATGCAGCTCACACAAAGCAACATTAGCATTCCTTTGGTCATGTTAGTCATGCTACATGACGAATGTAAATGCAATGGTTTGCACCATCTTAGGGGGAATCTGGCTCTCTAGCGGCTAAATTCTCCACTATGTTCATTAGCCAGTCGCTAACTCTGCCGATCGGCTAGGACAGGCAGCGTACAACGGATTTTTCAAGGTCTCTGGCTAGAAACAAGGTCACAGTATTGAGAGTGAACCAGAACAGTACAGTCGCAGGTAGAGATGTCCCTGATTGATAGTGTACAAACAACAAAATTCCGTCTGATAGCTTTCCAGACAAGCTAGCTAGCTATTCAGACATCCATGCTAATGCCAAAACTACTAGCTAACCAGCAGAACAGCCACGTCAGCAACTGGAGCGGTGTGTCAGACAGTGGAGAGTGCTAATGGGGACAAGTACAACTTTCCAACAACATCAAAACTAAATCTATTCCATTCCTAAGCGCCATCGCCCCCTGCTTTGGTTGCAAATCCAATTTACAAGGGGAGCTGCAACGATGAGGAACCATTTGGGTATCTGCTTCACATGAGCAGGTGTTTTCAGCAGCTGGACAAGTTCTAACTCACACAAATCATGTAGAGTATGCTTGACATCTTAAAAACCAATCTGTCGAGAGATCAATGTAACGCGTTTTATGTTTACTTATGTTTACTAACAGCTATTTGCTGCTAAAACTTTATTTGGACTTTTTCTTAAATGCTAGATCTGCCCATTGTGTTCAATTTCATCTCATACATGGAGTGTGAAAAAAAGGACATTTCTTTATGATTAACTGATTACTGATGGTTAGTTGTTGGCCATGAAAACCAAATGTACCATGCACCAAGGCTGAGTCCTTGCTGCAGCAGCCCAGGGTTCAAATCCGACCTGCGGACCTTTGCTGC